TTCCCTGCGGCCTGCTCAGCGCCCATGACCGGCACGGCAACCGTCAACGCTATCCCTGTCCCCACACCTCCCGCCGCGGACGTCTTCCCCCTGCCCACGTGATGCCTCAGACCCTGAAGCTGTACAGGAAGGGGACGGGCAGAGGCGTCCCCAGCATTTCTTGCCTGGGTGGGAAATCCAACGTGTGGCCTCTTAAAACCAGTCCTCTGTACCGAGTCCAGGCGTGCTGGGGACCCCCTCCCCCACTCCCCGCTGCCCTCCCTCCCCTGCCCCAGCACCCACAGGAAGGTTTCTGGACGTGGGAGTTCCTCTGACACATTGTCCACGTCCCCTACACCTTCCCGAGTTAGACGACAGTCCCAAGTAGTGGGCTGCCCTGTGCTCTGTCTCCGTCAGCAAGCCAGGCTGCGGTCTCATGCGATGACAGCCTGGCAGTGGTGGCCTAGCTGAGCTGGGTCCCAGACACCCGAGCACTGGAGAAGGGGCTGGGGAACAAGCCCCGAGCCATGCTCACAACCATCTGACCAGGTAGCGAATCAAAAGGACAGGAGGCAGAGTGGGGGGGCTCGGTCACGGTGGGGGCTGCTGGGGCTGCAGACCTGATGCAGACCTGCACCGGGCAGCTGTGGTCACAGGCCAAGCTTTACCCACCACAGACCCTGAAAATGCAAAGGCAAAGCGAGCCCGCGGCCCAAGGCAGGCCACTCGAGAACGCCCACTGCCCTCTGGTTGGGCTGCGGCCCGAATGTTCTCATCAGCCCTTTGCTTTCATTGGGGAAATTTTTATCTTGAGCAATGACACACAGTGGTGACGAGAAGTCCTTTTATTTTTATTTTGTTTTCTTTTGAGACAGAGTCTCACTCTGTTGCCCAGGGTAGAGTGCCGTGGTGTCAGCCTAGCTCACAGCAACCTCAGACTCAAGTGATCAAGTGATCCTTCTGCCTCAGCCTCCCAAGTAGCTGGGACTACAGGCATGCGCCACCATGCCCAGCTAATTTTTTCTATATATTTTTAGTTGGCCAATTAATTTCTTTTCTATTTTTAGTAGAGATGGGGTCTTGCTCTTGCTCAGGCTGGTTTTGAACTCCTGACCTTGAGCGATCCTCCCACCTCGGCCTCCCAGAATGCTAGGATTACAGGTGTGAGCCACTGTGCCTGGCTGAGAAGTCCTTTTAAAATAATCTGATACTTCCATCCAGTGTCCTCAGTGAGGCGGGCTCACGAGGTCCTCCATCGGCTTTGATGCAGGAGGCAAACCCGCCAGGCCAGCGCCCAGGGAGGGGCTGGGACGGAACGTCCCAATACTCCCCACTCGCTCCTGTGGGCACATCCTGCAAAAGCCTGGCTCACGTTTGTCTGTGTCACTTGTGGGAAATAAGTTCCCTCTGACACAAAGCTGGTGAAAAACTAGACCTCCTCTGGTTTCGGAGAGCCCGGAGGCTTCCCTCTGCCACATGCAGAGCCACCTGCAGGCCCAGCCCAGGCCCCAGGACGGCTATGACCTCAGGCAGCAGGAGCGTGGGGCTCTGGCCCCGGTGGCTCTCGCCTTTGGAGTCCCCTGTGATCTCTCCACGACCTTCTTCCTTTCTCCTTCCACCCAATCACTTGCACAGCCTGTCCACCCTGGACCCCAGACCCCTACTATTCCAGGAGATGCTGGAAAGGCTGCCCTCGGCCCGAGCACCAGGCTTGGCGTGTCCATGCAAATGGACTTTTCCAGGCCCATGGTACGTTGGCAGAGCCAAGATGGCACCTGAAAGCTGGCATCCACCTCCCAGGAAGCCACACTGATACGAAGGCGGGACATCCCTACAGCTCCCCTGGGAACCAGGAGGGAGCCTCTGGTTACCAGGTGTGAGAGCCGGGGCAGATAAAGCAGGGATTACAGCAGTTCTTCCTCCTCCTCAGACTGCTGCCACTTAAATAAGACAATACATGTTAAGTGCTTAGCACAAAGCCTAGCATGTAGTAAGTGTTCGATAAATGCTAGCTATGATCCGTCTTTTTTTGGAATGAGGATAGGGATAGTTAAACATTCCGTAGGCAGTGAGGACCCGCTGATGGCTCTGGAGAAGAATTAATGTAGATGCAGGTAACATGAGGAAGGCCTGAGAAAAGGACTGTATTTAGACAGGTACGGGCACAGGGAAACTTCACGCGTGATGAAGGTGGCATCTCCAATCACTGGGGGGACAGAGATGGACTCTTTAATAAATGGGACAACTGGGTAGCCCCGCGGAGAAAGATGAAATTCGATTCCTACTTCACACCATACACAACAACAGACTCCAGACAGACCAGGGATTCGGGTGCAACCAACGGAGCCAGACAAGCTAGAGGAAAGCGCGGTGGGCCCCTCTCCCATCCTGGCGTGGAGAAAGGCTTTCCAGCCGTGACTCGAACCCAGAGGGGATGGAAGTTTGACAGTTTTGACTGCACTAAAAAAACTGCATGGCAACAAAAACGCCAAAGTCGAAAGACAACCAGCAAACTGGGAGAAAACATCGAACATATATCAGACAACAGTGCCTCATCTAACATACAAAGAACTCCTTAAAAAGGCCCAGAAACCTGACAGAAAACGGGAAGACGGAAACAATTCACAAGAAAGATAAAAGAATGGCCCTTCAATGCATGAAAGGTGTTCAGATTCCCTGGTAATTAGAGAAATGCAAATTAACACGCCATCTACAGACAGTGAAAATTCTGCCGTAGGACAGCATAGTCTGCGGGTCTGGGGACAGGCGGCATGTGCCTGGGGACACGGGCACCCATTTTCAGCCCTGGTGACGAGGAACCGGCGTAGGCCTCCGGAGGGAGACAGGCAGCACACAGCAAAGCCGCGCAAGCTCCTACCCTTTGACCCGGCAACGCCGCTGCCGGGCGTCTACCCTGGCGGTGCGGCTGCAACACCCCGGAAGTCCGTACGCGCCAGGCCCTTCGCCCCACGGCTATCTGCAATTGGAAAACTCGGAGCAAACAGCCTAGACGCTAACATGCTAACGTCCGCATAGGAAAGTGCTGGAGAACTGCACAGTGGAGCACTGTCCAGCTGTGAGGATGGACGGATGGACGGGGACGCTCTCTGTGCCTGATAAGGAGAGATTTCCGGGCTATAGCGTTAAGTGGGGAAACCCACCGACGCGTGAAACAGTGTCGTTTGTATTCCATCCTTCGTGTAAGAAAGGAGGGGATGTGAGAACAGTCTCGTTTCTGCAGGAGAATTAGAGGAAGGACAGCAGAAACTAAGGAGAAGGGCTGCCCACGGGAGGAAGCGGGTGGGAGGGCGGGGGAGGGCAGAGCCGCCGTTCTCTGGGCACACCTTTGACTGGAGAGCGCTGACCTTCAGCACCGCAGCGTGTCACCCTGGCCAGGCCACAGTGCCCAGTGGCGCGGTCACGCGTGGGCCCAGGTGTTGCTGTGGGTAGGTGTTGTGGAGACGTGGGTGGCGTCTACACTCAGGGACTCTCAGTGAGGAGATGACCCTGGGTGGTGGGAGTGGGCCCCGTCCAGCTGATGCAAAGACCTTACTAGCAACTTAATTTCTTAGCAATTAAGAAATTCGGCAAGAATGCTGCACCAGATCATCTTGAGTTTTTTATTCTTTTTTCTTTTAATAAAATCCCTAGCAACCGTCCCCGTTCTGTTTCCAGCTGTGCTGCCACGGGGCTCTGAGGACGGGAGGCGCTCTTGGCTCGAGCGCTAACTGTCCCTATCTGCACCTGGCGCCGTCAGAAACCGTCCTGGGCTCCGTTTCTGGTAACAGCACGTGGCTGCGTTGAGAGCATGTGGCTCGTGTCACCGGCTGCCTTCCCCTCGGCCTCCGTCGGTGCCTCAGTCACAGCAACCCCCGCTCACTCAGACAGCAGGGGGGGCGCTGTGCTCCAGGGCCTCCTCCCCCGGCGCCCCCCGCATCATAATAAAATGCACCCTTTAATTTCAACACACAGTACTCAGCTGAGGCGGAAGGCTAATTAGCCTAAAGAACAGGCTGTTCTGATTTTTGACAAGCCCTGCCCCCCAATTTCTAACTCCCGATTAATTTCCCTGCTTAGAAAATGAGACCCTGAAGTCTTAACGAGGCCTTGAGTGTGGCAGGGGGCGGGCGGGTGACCCCGCCGAGGGCACTGTGGGTCCCCCAGAACACCCCATGGGCCGGGGCGGGTGGGGGCTCCCTGGTTAACTGTGTCCTCCCAGGGGCCTGCAGGGAGCACGCGGAAGGTGGAGAAGGAAGACGGGGCAGCGGTCCACCCGCTCCGAGAGAGGACACACCAGGTCGGGGGGCTCTGCGGGGCGATCACAGCGCCCAGCCTCATGGACGCTGTGGGTGGAAGGCCCAGCCATGGGCATGCCCCACCCCCACCCCAGCGGGGAGGGGCTGTGAGTTCCAAGCAGAGATTGTCACTCCCACGGCGTTTGCCCAGGTGTGTCCTGGAACCTTGGGAGACACCAAAGCCGCATGTGCTTGTGTGTGAGAACTGGCTAGGCTTTTCCTCTGGGAGACTCTCCCCGCCCAGCCCCAGGGCTCCCCCTCTCTTGGGCACAGGCTCTAGAGACACGAGGACCCGTGCACCTACTGTGTGTCGTGAGCCGTGCTGTGCACCTGTGCACGGGTCTGTCCGAGGGCCGCCACAGCTGGGGGATGGTGGCCCCCAGCTATGTGCACCCACTGCTGACCCCATTTCTCACCCACTGGGGCAGGGCCACCCCAGCACACTGAGGCAGAAACAAGGACTGGACGTGCCACGATCTGATCCCTGGTCCAGAAGCTGGAGAGCCTGGGCCTGGCCGGGGAGCCCCACGGGGTGGGGGGAAAGGCCTCTGGCAGGATGGCCCGGCCACGCAGGGAAAGGGCTCAGCTCAAGGTGTCCTTGGTGAAGGGCTGTGGGTGGGGTGGGGGGGACAGTCTTGGCCTGACCATGGGGACCCAGGGAACTGGCAGGGATGTCCCTGAGGCCATGCTCCTGTCACAGAGGCGGGCCCAGGGTTAGGGACTCACCTGATGGTCTTGCCCCAGTCGCACCACAGCTTCTCCCCGACAGCCTCCATGTCCACCTTGAACTGGGGGAGGCAAAGGTCCTGGAGGAGGGTGCCGAGGTCAGCCTCCCGGCAGGCAGTGACCAGCGAGACGAGATGCCCTGCAACAGAGGTGCCAGGACCGTGACCGCCGGCCCGGGCCCCAGCCAGGGCTCCCGCCCCCGAGCCCACCCGCGACAGGGACTCCGAGCGCTCCCTGGAGAGGGTGTCTGCAGCTCCGGCCACATTCTTTATTCATCAATTATCCTGTGTCCCCACAGAGGCCCTCCCTGCCCGCCACAGGCTCCCGGAAGTGAGACGGGAGCAGGAATGTGACCCATGTGTAGACAGCTGCAGGCTGTGCACATCTTGACCGCATGGGCCAAAGCTGATGCTGTGGAATTTCACAGCAATAAAACTGTGTTTAATTAAAACATAAAACCCAAAACACCTGTGCCCCCTGCCCCCAGCATACGGAGAAAGAGGTGAGGCTGCAGGTCTGGGGCCGTCCTGTGCCCACCCGCCAGGAGGGCGGCCCCATGCACAGCCGCCCGCCAGGTCTGGGCAGGGCCGGCGCTCTGGAAGCTGGGGTCTGACTCGGGTCCCGTCTGAGGAAGGACGCCGCAGGAGCATGGCGGACAGTGGTCTGGGCAGGCCGGAGGACAGTCATTTGCCCAGAGTGGAGGGCACCAGGGGTTGAGCAGGAAGAGGACTGGAGGCTGGGACACCCCAGGGCTCCTGAGAACAGGGGGGTTTTTAGCTTGAGAAGCTGGGGCGCAATGGCGGGTGGGGACAGGCCGAAGTGAAAGGCTGGCATAGGGGACAAGGTCCTTGGAGCTCCATGGGAAGGGACCTGCTGTCAGCCCATCCGTCAACACCAGCGAGAGTCGCCCACCTTTGGCACGAGCAGCCCCCACTGGAGTGCTGGCCCCTTACGCCCAGGTTGCCCGTCCCCGGGAAGCCCAGAGGGCAGGAGAGCCTCCCTCCCAGCTCTCCAGGAGCCCTCAGGAGCCTCAGCACCCACCTGTGTTCATGCCACCCCTCAGCAGCCCAGGTGGGTCCCCCGTGTCCACACCAGCACGGCCAGTACACCAGGGCCAGCTGTGGACACACCCCCTACCCTGGGGGCTTCTCGTCAGGGCAGGCTTGGGGAAGGGTCTTTTTCCGACACACCCGTAAGAAAGGCCACCTCCTGTGGCCAGGTGAGGCACCAGGGCTCGCTGGGAGCTCAGGAGCGCTCGGACGTGGACTGGTCAGCTCATGGGAGGAATTCCAGCTCCTGTCCAGCCTCGGCCAGAGGGCTGTCCCTCCGTCTGTCCCTCACTGCTCCCCACCTGGGACGCCTTCCCCCAGTAAACCCCGGGCCCCAGTCCCACCTGCCCTTCTCCACTGCCGCCTTCTCCGAGAGGCCCTGCTGTCCCCACCCACTACGCCTCCCGGCCCTCAGAGCCTACCGGGGCAGGTGGACGCTTTCTTCTCTCGCAGCCCTCGCGCCGCCCTCTCCCTCCCACTCCTTCCTGACTCACGCCTGCGTCCAGCAGCTCTGCTCCTTAATATTTGTCACACGAACCAAGAAATAAGCAAGGCGGCCACTCCCAACTGCGTGGATGCTCTCTGGAAGAGTCACGAAGATGAACGTGCATCTCTGCGCCCAGCCAGGGCTCTCGGCTGCACGTTCTGACAGGAGCCAGCTGTGAGCAGCAGAAGACTCTGGGACAGGACCCTCGTGGCCCCCGAGGACCCCGGGGGAGAGGGGAAGCAGGAGCTGCACAGCCGCCCGGCAGAGCCCGTCCCCAGGGCCCAGCCTCCTCCTCTGGAGAGTCTCCAACAGACAAGGGCAGTGCTGGGGGCCACAAAGAATGACACTGTCCCCTCCAGCTGGTTGGGATGTGCTCCGAGGGGGAAGTCCCCAGGCCACGGTGCTCCCTGTTCAGGCCGCCCTCCCCGATGCACTCAGGTCAGTCTCCTCCTGCTGTCTCTGGGCTGTGGAGAACAGCCGCCTGCCCCACACCTGCTGGGCCCTCGGTGGCTGTCCCGTCTCTCCCAGCCAGCTCTAGCTGCCCCAGCCTCGCCCCCTTCGGCCCTCGCCCCCGGGTGCTGCATCCCCGGTCTCTCTGAGCCTCTTCTGCCTCCCTAGGGGCAGGACCTGGCGTGCCTGGCCCCGCCTGTCACACCCGCCTCTCTCTTTCCTGCCCTGGGGGAGCCCAGAGTCCTGCGGCTGGGATGAGGCCAGGGCAGCCGTGTGGGAGGAATCTGGAAACCAGGTTCACTTTTAGAGACGGGACAAGAACACACAGTTTTCCTTAAGCAAGCCAGGCATTGCTTTCGTTGGCGAGAGGGGAAACATCACAGCTTCAAAACTGAATAAAGTTGCCAGAAGTTTGTAAACTGGCCATTTGGGGCCAGGTGGGCTCCATTCTCGTGTGATATAAATTTAACCATTCAAAGCTCGTGTCTTTAAAGAGCTGTGTGCTGAGGCGGCCTAGCTCCCTGGGCGTGTGGAGACAGGAGCCGAGTTGTGAATAATTTAGGAATTCACTGCTGGGGGGGGGGTGGGTTGCTCAGGGAAGGGGCCCTCTTCCCCCAGGAGAGGACCGGCCCTGAAAAGACCATAAATAGCTGCAGCACAGGTGGGGTCTGTCCAGAAAGGGGGCAGCCAGCCCCCCAGTGGGGACCCAGGACACTGCCCACCAGGTATCTGGGTTTTTTAAGGAGAAGGGCACAGACGAGCTCGGCTAGCAGTTGTCAGACGCAGCCATCGCACTTCACAGGAGTGCCTGGCCTGTGCCTGCCGCGGGCAGGGGAGGCTGACCCTGCTGTTACGCATTTCACATTTGCAGAGAAATTCTCACGCCTTGCCACTGTCCCCTCTGAGTGGAGGTGGGCAGCTGGGGCCGCCACCCGCCAGAGCTGCCCTCTCGCCTGCACGGCGGGGCCTCCCCTGCTGGGCCAGAGCCCAGGAGCAGCCGCTTCCAGGTGACCCCAGGATGCTGCCCCCGACCAGAGGAAGCCTCTCAACCTCTGGAGCAGCGGTTTCTTCACCGGTGCAATGGGGACCTCCCCGGCCAAAGGGGCTTCCAGAGGACGCCTGCATGGACTGATCCCACCCACAAGCAGCAGCCTGTCCCTGCAGGCTTTTCAATGGGAGCCGTCCTTAGCAACTCACAGGACACTCGGGCCCTGGGCCTTGCAACTTGGCCTGGTGGCCAGCGAGGGGTGGGGGCGGGAGGGGCAGTGGGAGGGGGCGGGAGGGGGAGATGACCAAGGGCACAGGATGCTTTTGGAGGTAACAGATGTTCACTTTCTTGAATGTGGTGAGGGTGTCACGGGTGTAGACATATGTCAGAACCTTTCAAATGGCACACTTTATTCGGTTTATTCTAGGTCAGTAGATGTTTAGAAATAATAAACAGGAAGGCAATGTCAAGAGCAGGCTGAGTGGAGATCATACACGGCCCTTATTTCTGCCTTAAGCTCTTCTGAATGTCCCACAGTTTAAAAAACCCTAGCACATAGTTTGCAAACATTATCTCTGTGCTCCATGTACATCTTCTCTTTGCTCTGCAGGGTCTTGCTGCAGCCCTGAGTCATTTCCTGCTCGCCCAGCGGAGTGAAAACCACCCACTTCCCAGGACTTCCCTGGCAACACCCTGTCGGGAGCCACATCCCCAGGACACTACATGCCTTGGCTCGAACAGGCTGCCCTCAGCCTGCTCTGAAAAAAGAAAGCAAAAATCAAGAATAACAAACTGAAAGAAAACTGGCATCTGTCCAGTCAAAACTCCTACTGAACCGTCAAGGCCCCAGGAACCATCGCCTCCTCTGCCTAGCACAGCACAGGCCCCCTGAGCTGAGTGACCGCCGAGGTCTGTGAGCAGGAGCCCTTCACATGGCCAAGTGTGGGATGCCAGGGTCTGTGCCTCGTGCCAGATGTCCCACCCCTAGCCAGGGGCAGCTCTCTGGAACCTTCCACCGCTGCTCTGCTTCTGGAAGCTCTAAGGCTTTGTCTTGATGCCTTCATCTTTCCTCAGCCGGGCTCTCCTGAGATGGTTCCTGCTAAATGTTCATTTGTCTCCTCTCAGTGGGCTTTGGTGCCTTGTGATCACATTCTGGCACCTTTCGACACCCGTGTCTCTACCGAAAGCCACCACGTATTCCTTTTGGAAGCAGGGTGGGTACGCGTGGATGGAGTGCAGGTTGGATTTCAGGTTGGGTTCCAGATCGGGTTCTAGATCAGGTCCACACCAACTCCAGAAGACATGTTGCTCCGTTGCGACCACCCGGCCCAGGATCCTGGTGGGGCAGGACGGAGAGAGGCTGGGGACGACTCTTCCAGAGGACGAAAGTGCCCAGGCCCCGGGGGATGGGAGGGTGAAGGAGCCTTGAGCTCCCCAGTCCAGCAGAGCACCCAATCCTGCATCCCTGGTGGCGGGTTCTCCTGACCCCTTTGGCCACCACCGTCCATCCCTGGCGGGCTGCAGGACATCTGTGCAGCCCCTGGTGACTGCAGCTCTCGTGTGGCCGCCTGGTCTGTTCCAGGCACTACAGTGCCTATGTGAGGGGCCAACGACAGCCTGGTGTCCCCCACCTGGCTCCCGGGACGTCTCCCCACTGTGGGGCTTCCGGCTTTCCCTCTCTCTGCCCCTGCTCCCTCCACGGCCCCGTCTCTCCAAGAGGGCGGCTGGCCCTGACCCCCAAGATGTTCTCCATCCCCGGCAAGAACCTCTCGTTCCAGCCTCTCAAGCCGACACCCTCTGAACAGCCAGTGGCGGGGAGCGAGTGCAGGGGCAGGTCCTCATGGCCTGGCCCGGCCACTTCCTGCTCACACAGCTGCAGCCCCCACAGGGTGTCACCAGGCAGATTCTCCTGCCGTCTGATTTTCATCCTCCCGCCAGCTGCAGACCAGGGCGAGGCACCGCCTTCCAGCCTCCCGTGGCCTCGCTCGGGCTGGAGGTGTCCGCTCTGTGCCGGATATGGCGGCCTGCGCGCAGCTCCGAGGCCCTCCCTCCTGTCCTCGCCATCCGCTTCCACCCAGAATGCCCGGACCAGCGTGGCGGGCTCTGCCCTGGCCTCCCGCCTCCACCCCCAGGCGACAGACCCTCATTGCGCACGGGGCCCCCAC